GGTGTGCCACCCTACATCGAAGAAGGAAAGATTGTCCTTTGCTATAAAGGGTATCGTTAGCACAAGCAGCACAGCTCTGTCGGGATGGTATGTTGCAGAACACGCCATCGGAGTCCCACTCTCTCAGTGAGGCCACTGCATGGAGCCTCTGTAAGCGAGCCTATCTGAGCGGGATGGGCATGGTCTACGACGTAATTCTCCAGAAAAAATAATAATGTATACACACAGAGCGACAAAACAAATGTGGCAAAAATATTAATAGCTGGGTTGGCCTGAAGCATGGTGATTAAGGGAGCTAGGGAGCTAGACCCCGCATGGCCAAACACAGTTCAAATCCCAGCCCTGGCAGCCTGAAAACATGCAGAGTACATGCATGTCTCAAATCCCAATGGAATGAAGAAATGGAGGAGAAGGGATTTGGCATGACCATGCCTCATTTGGGGGTGTTCTCCCTCTTCCTCTGCCCTGTTTCTATAGTAAGGACACATGACCTCTGGCAATTAAAAAAAATCAAGTTAATAGCTGACCAATCTTATATGAGAATTCTCTGTCCTTTATTGCTACTTTCTATAGATTTGAAATTATTTCAAAAGTAGGTTTTGCTATATATAGTAAGAGAGACAGCTCCTTGGAGAGAGACAGAGACAGAGAAGAGGATAGTGAGAGATCTCTACCCGGGAGATGGCTACGTCAAAATTCCTTCTCCTCCATTTTCCTCTCGGGATTTTAGGTATGTACACACACGTGCCTGGAATGATTTTCAAGTCACCAGGTCAAGGGCTTGAACCATGGAGGGCCATATGGGAGTCCAGTACCTTAACAATCACACCACCTGCCGACCCCCAGTACAAAAAATCTTTTTAAGGGAACCAGCAGTTAATGTAATAGCTATATCGCTGGACTCCCACGTAGTTGACCACGGTTCGCGTCCCGGACCCGATGGCTTAAAACTCACGCTGGGCGTGTGTGCGTGCGTGCCCAAAATCCCAAGAGGAGAATGGAGGAGAAGGGATTGCAGCGTGGCCATTCCCCCTGGGGGGTGATTTCTTGCTTTCTGTCTCTATGTTTCTCTCTGTCTGTCTGGTGAGCACACGCGCCCTGTAGCAAAAAACTCTCAAAAAAAAAAAATCTTTTTAAAATAAAATATTTGGAGCTGGCAGGTGGCGATGTGGTTAAGGTGCTGGACTCCCATATGGCCAACCACAGTTCAAGTCCTGGACCTAGAGGCTTGCTTTCTCACTATCCCTTTTCTCTCTTTCTCTGTCTCTCACTGGTAAAATTTTTAAAAATAAATAATGATGACAAATTAAATTAATTAATTTAATTAAATATTCAGGGCCAGCAGGTAGCATGGTGGTTAAGGCACTGGACTCCCACATGGTCAACCACAGTTCAAGTCCTGGACCTGGTGGCTTGCTTTCTTACTTTCCCTCTCTATCTCTCTCTGGTCAAATTAAATAATAATAAAAGTTAAAGGAAATAATTCTTTAAATTAATTAGATGTCTCTGATGTCTACTTTGTGGCCAAGAAACTGACAAGCTTTGAAGGGCACTGGGGTACAATCACTCGGTCTGCTGCAGACATCATTGAGGAGGGGGTACTCCTGCAACTCTGTGACCCCACTGCCATCAACCAGGGGAAGGGCCCCTCCCCACCTTCCAGGCAACAGCCAGGGTCTTACTCACTGTCACCCTCTCCTCTTCCTCAAAGACCCTACCACGAAGGCTGGACCCCTGCAACCCCTCCCACGGGGCTGCTGTGTGTGTCAAAGCTCTCACTTAACGTCCTAGATGGGAAGGGCTGCAAACGGGATTCTCTTCCCCCCATCCCAAACACTGAGGGTGTGACCCTGGTAGACATGAGTACCTTTCCGTTTAGGGTCTGGAAGCGCTCTCCCACGGGTACCAAAATGTAGGACTCAAATTGACAAGTAGACTGAACACTGCTTGACAGGCTGCCTTTGCAGGGTACTAAGACCTGGAAAAAAAATAATGAGGGTAAACACTAGAGCGAGGTGTCGCTCCAACGTCGACAGCACGGGACGCATCCAAAAGCACTCTGCTGGAATGAGCACAGGACCTACCGGAGTAAGGGTGTCTGGGGCCACGTGCCAGCGTGGCCAGAGTTCCTGCCAGCTGAGTTCACTCACTGCTGTGATGGAAGCCGCTGTCCCCACCCAGGCAGAGGACGAGGAGCATGCGTCCCTGTCCATTCTCAGATACAGACTGCTGTGTTTGTCCCCACACTTGCTATGACCCTCCCCACAGCCAGCCCCGGGCACCCCCTCTTCTCTCAACAGCCCCGTTACAAGCACCAACAGGCTTGTAAAAGAAGACAGCTTCCTTTACATCTTTTTTCTATATTTTGTTTTAAAACCTAGCTGTGATCAGTTTGGGAGGACATAACAGAGGCCACAGACACATGGCTGCCCTTTGTAGGCGGCAACTTCCACCAGAGGGGTCTCAGGGTGCCAGGCTCACTCTGAGGCAAGTTCAATTGAAACTTTACAAAACTGAGTTTTGGTCAGAGCACAGCCCCCATGCTGACCAGACATCAGCTTCTCAGTGTAATGTGGCAGTGGGAAGGAGCCGAGATCTGTCCTGGCCGGGCAGATCCATGCTTGGCTCGGGGACTCACATTTTAAGAGGAATCTCTCAGAAGCAAGTGTATCTGGGATGGTGACACCCTCCAGAGTCCTGGCTCCCAAGGTAGCCCAGCACAGAGCGCTGGGGGCAGCCGGGCTGGGCATCACTCCTGGTTGTCTGCTTCCCAGCAGAGGCCCTGAATGTGGAGCCAACCCTCGTTCCTGGGCTTCAGCTTGCACAAAGTGGCGACAGTGAGAGTGTCTGCCACATGAGGCTGAGGGAGGGTGACACAAGACCCACATGGCCTGCTCAGTACAGTGCCTGCATGTAACATCACTCTCAGAGCAGCGTGGCATGGCTCACATTACCCTCACAGGGGGTCCTTTGCCTTTTTTATGTGTTTTCTATTTAGAGAGAGATTTTTGCCATAGGGAGAGTGCGCGCAACAGAGAGACAGAGAGACAGAAAGTAAGAAATCACCCCTTCGGGGGGAAGACCACGCCACAATCCCTTCTCCTCCATTCTCCTCTCAGGATCTTGGGCACACACGCACCTGCACTCGGCGTGAGGTTTAAGCCGCCAAATCTGGGATTCGAACCACAGTCAACTTACATAGTAGTCCAGCGACATAACCATTATACCATCTGCTGGTCCCCAGAAGGGATCCTTTTCCTATCGCCATGTTTGAATATGTCCCCCAAAAATTCATGTGCTGAGCCACAGTAACAGGATTAAGAGGGTAAAAACTGGATCCAATTATGGGGTCGAAAGGTGGGGCTTTAGGGAAGAGATTAGGATTAAGGTCATCAGGGCAGGGCTCCCATGACTGACTCCTGGTGGGTTTATAGGGAGAGGGAGTGAGAGAGAGAGAGAGAGACACCCACACAGCACGCAGACCACACTCTCTTGCCTGCCGCCATGTTGTGAGGCGGCCAGAAGACCCCTACCATAGAGAGTCCCTGCACCATAGACACCCAACCATAGCTGAATAAAATTCTGTTTATAAATCAGCCGGTTTCAGGTATTTCCTGTTATTCACAATGGAATGAACTAGAAAATTGGTACTGGGGGTGGGGTTCTTTTGCTAATAACAAATATGTAAAACTGTGAAAGCTGCTTTGAAACAGAGTAATAGGCAAAGGTTGCAAGAGTTTGGAGAAAGCCTAGACTGGATTAAGGGCAATTCTGGAAAGTCTGGAACTTTTAGGGATTGGTTAAATGGAGTGACCAGAATACTGACAGAAATACAGGCAGTAGAGGCCATTCTCAGAGGAAAATGAAGAACATCTTATTAGAAATTGGAGAAGATCTTCCATGCTACGTTATAGCAAAGGACTGGGCTGCAAAGTGCTCATGACCTGAGACTTTGTTGACTACTGACTTTAAGACTGATGAAGATCTGGCAAGTGATCTTTCAAGATAAAATACAGAAGGAGCTGCATGGTTATTGTAACCAACTGAACGAAATGAAAGAGGAATGAGATGACTGAAAAATAGAATTAAATTGGAGCCAGCAGGTAGCACAGTGGTTAAGGTGATGGACTCACACACGGCCAATGCAATTTGAGTCCCAGACGTGGAGGCATGAAACCCTTGCATGGCACATCTGCATGTGTGCCCAAAATCCCAGATGGAGAATGGAGGAAAAAGAACTGTGGTGTGGTCAACCCCCTTGGGGAATGATTTCTCATGTTCCCTTTCACTGTCTCTCTCTGGCAGGCATACCCACTATGGCAAAAACTTAAAAAAAATTAAAATGTAAATAATGAAATAATGAAAAGAGAAGCAAAGCAAAAAGAATTAGAAAATTCATAGTGTGATCATGTGGCAAAGAAAGAAAAAGTAAGTTTGGCAGAGAAAAGTGCTCAAGAGACTGGTTGCTAAAGAGATTAGGAGGGCAAGAATGGGTCCAAGTAAGATTTTCAAGAAAAGGGGAAAAAAGATCCCACGATGGTCTCTCCATCATAAGCTCAGAGGTACAGGAAAGCAGAATGGTTTGCAGGGACTAGCCCAGGCAGGCTTGTTGCCCTGAACCATGCTGGGATTCAGCCTTCGACATCCCAATAAAACATTTCTCAGGCCCAGCTGAGCCCCCCTGGAGCTCCACCTGCTGGGGAGGCTGCTTCTCCAAAACATGCAAGGGGCAAATCTCGGTGGCCTACCCGAGGAGGCAATTCTGTAGGCTCTCAGAATTCCCAAGCTGTGAAGTATGGAGACCTCGACTGAGATTTCAAAGAATGTCTCAGACAGCCCAGCAACCTCGGCAAAGACTTATCACCGGGTGGGGCCACCACCGAGCTTCTACCAGCACACAGCCAAGCGGAAACGTGGGGTCTGATCTACAGAGAATCCCCATCAGAGCAAAGCCCAGCAGAGCTGAAGAAGTGAGACCGCCCTCAAGCACCCAGCACTGCGGAGCTGTCGGTGTGTAGCACTAGCCTGGGACGACTAAACACAGACTCCAACTAGAGAGGTCTGAAGCATGGACAGAGTGCAACAGGACTACGGGGACAAGGCTGCCTGACGTTTGAGGGCCAAGGCCCTCATGTGTCCAGGCTGTGGTAGACGGAGTTTCACAGCTAAATGTACCCTCCTGGGGTTACAACTTGAGGCCTGTTACTCCTTTCCTTTCAAGGAACGGACATCTCTACCCTGTGCCTGTCCACACTGTAGTATTTTGTTTTGTTTTGTTTTTAAGAGAGGTTTTTGCTATACAGCGCATGCTCTCGCCAGAAAGACAGAAATAGACAGATACAGAAAGCAAGAAATCCCCCTCCCCCCAGGGATAATGGCCACGCCACAATCCCTTCTCCTTCATTCTCCTCTCGGGATCTTGAGCACACATGCACACGCGTCCAGTGTGAGTTTTAAGGCACCAGGTCTAGAACTCAAACCATAGCCAGCCAAGGAGTCCAGCGACGTAACCATGACACCAACTGCTGGCCCCCCACTTTAGTGTTTTAAGAGTATATAATTTGCTTTGATTCCATAAACTCAAGTTTGCCTTGAGTTTCAGATGAAACTCTGGACTTCGGATGTTGGAGTGGATGTTAAAATGGGTTAAGACTTCCCAGACCATTGGGATGCTTTTGTATGAGAGAAGTTCATAAATTTTGGGAGCCAGGGGAAGAATGCTATAGTTTGAATATGCCCCCTGAAAATTCATGTGTTGAGCCACTGTAACAAGATTAAGAGGGTGAAAACTTGATCCAATTATGGTGGCAAAAGGTGAGGCTTTGGGGAAGGGATTAGGATTAAGGTCACCGAGGCGGGGCCCTCATGAGTGACTCCTGGTGGGTTTGTAGGAACAGGAGAGACACGCCCACATGGAGCACAAACTATACTCTCCTGCCTCCGTGGTGTGATGCATGAAGAACCCCACCAGACTGGGTCCCTGGGCCTGATCGGAGTAACTCCCACCACCATGATCTGAATAAACTTCTATTTTCATTAACCACTCGATTTCATGCATTTCTTGTTAATAGCAATGGAACAGCCTAGAATACCTATATCTCACCAAACTCAAAAGCAGTGCACCAAGTCCCTGTGGTCCAGTTAACTGGTGGTCCTCAGAGAGTCGAGGGCTATCAGGGGAAGAACAAAAGCCACAAGCGGGCCAGCAGGGAGCATGGTGGCTAAGGCTCTGGATTCCACATGGGTGACTCCACAGTTCTTATCCCAGCCCCAGCAGCTTTAAAACCACACTGGGTAGGACCGGTGGGTGGTATGGTTGTTAAAAGCATGGGACTCCCATGGCTGACCATGGTTCAAGTCCTGGACCTAGTGAGTTGCTTTCTCACTTTCCCTCTCTCTCTGATAAAACTAGAAAATAATGATAAAAAGTTAAATAAAATAATTCCTTTTAAAAAAGAAAGGAAGAAAGAAAAACACACTGAGGATGAGTGCATATGTACCCAAAATTCCCAAAGAAGAATGAAGATGGGATTGTGGTATGGCCATCCCCCCCGGGGTGATTTCTCACTTTCCCTCTCTCTCTGTCTCTCTCAAGTGAGCATACACACCCTATGGCAAAAATCTAAAAAATTTTTGAAAGCCACGAACAATCAGTCCTGGCCAAGTTCGCTCCAACGTTAAGCAGCCACTGGCCACAGGTAAGGAGCTGATTCCAGCCAGAAACAGGCCCCTTCCAAAGTTAAGACTTAATGGTTCAAAGGGTAATATTAAAACTTTCAGCTTTCAGAGAATGCCATAGAAAATGGCAGAGGAGCAAATTCCAGGGATCAAGTCCTCTACCCCAATAATCATTAAACTTGAAAAACACTTTTAGTAGCAACTGTGGAATTCTGGAACCTAATCTGACAGAGCAATCGGAGCAGTGCCTGATGAGGGAGGTTTCCTGATATTCCTTCATCCCTCAGCCACCATTATCCC